ATCATATATAATGTTTTTAAGAAAAGTTCTTTCGTACACGTTACTAGCACAACTAGTAGCAACTTACAATAAAAAGAAGAATATTTTCCAAGATTTAGTAAGCAAGATAATAGCAGTTTGACAACTAACCCCGTGTCACAACTAGCCCCGGTCTCCCCTACTTTCGGCCATTGACACTTTCTACACCTCTAAGTTTGGTTATTTTTTTTATGTGGGAGAGCGCACAAAGAGACGGGCGTAGCTTGTTCCTGGATGCGCTCTCATCTAAAGCATGTACGTACTTTTCAAGCTCTTATCGTAATTTTTATAGTTATTCTTTATTTATTCTATACTAAATATTTGTATATAAGACATAGTACGTCTAAAATTATCATATATTATATGTAAACTATATCTGATGAATCGAGAAACGATAGTTCATTAATGAAACTTTTTTTGTCTATAACCTTTTTACGAAGAATAAGCAACGGCTAAAACCTTTTGATTGTTACTCGGGGATATGTTTTTGACAACATATGGTAAAATCATTGAAATCAGTAAGGTCGCCCTTAATATGCAAATTTATTGCAGACTTTTATTGAAAACTATGAAACACTTATTTGTTAAAAAATCTTCGAAATTAAGATTTATAATTTGATTTAGATGTATAGCATAAAACATTTGCAACCATTTTTGGCCTTCCTATTTACTTTTATTTAAATGTCAATTTCATCAAAATGTTAAACAACACATCTTCGTTCTTCTGAGAATTTGTTTATCATCAAAAAACCTTCAACCATAAAAACGAGACCGTTTATAAAATGTGATTGCAATTTTGTAAATTTCGTCATTTTGCTTATTGATATAGTTTTGAACAATATTTCCGCGAAAAAAAATCTCTAGTTGGATTATTACATGAAAATATAACGCGCTCCGCTGTAAATTCTAATTAAATCCAGTAAAAAAATTAAAAATAATTAATTGTTTTCACAATTTTCCGCTTTGGCAACTTTGTCTCGTTATAAATACGCTTTTTTTTATCAAATAATCTTTTTCATTTTCTTTTTTTAAATAGAAAATAAAAAAAACATTTTTATAAATATTAAACCAAATTTACTTTGCCATTTTTTCTTAGTGTTTTCTTAGTTAAAAAATTAAAAACAATAGTTTATATATTTGCGCATTTTTATACAATAATATGAACGTTTTTTTTCTAGAATTAATGAGAAATTAATCTCTTTTTTTCTAATACATTGACAAGCTGCATGGTCAGTTTTCTTTTTTCCCGTCTGATTGCCTTTACAAGAAAATATGATCGCGACGACCTCACCGTTTCGCCACGCGTTATCTTACGTTTGATGTACCACTTGATATACTATCTTTCCTGCTCTAGCGAAGTTTTCCCGTGCGATGTACGGCCAACATTAACGATGAAATATCGCTCTTGCCATCTCTCATTATCGAATCGTACTATCTACGCGCTACAAATTCCGATACTGTGACATATGCAAAAAGAAGAAAGAAATAAATTAAGAACTTTCCGAGAATGAGAACCTGCATATAAATCATCGCATATTTTGGTTAAGATTTTTAAACTCTATTTAAAAACATGTATAAACTTTCTGGTTTGATCGTTGATGTATCTATACATTATATAATATTACAGGTTTCAATAAAATCGCAAAAAGTTAATTAATTTTTTAACTGTTTTTGAAACTTATGTTTTTTAACAAAATATGCTGTTTAGAAAATATGCGAACGTTGCATCTTCAAAATAAATAATTAAACTTAAAATCTTATACATATTTCAATTGTAAAAATATGTTTAGTTACTATTATAAAGAACTTAGATTTTTTAAAAGATTATTCTCAAGAGTCGGTAATTTAGAACCATTTGGATGTTTTGCAGAAATAAAAACAAAACAAAGTTTATAATATACCCAAATGTATAATACACCTAAACTTAGATTTTTCCAGTTTTATATTAGTTTACAGTATTTATATTAGTTACATAAAAGTGTTACGAACGTCTTTCATATTAAATAGTGGAAATTTGGGACTTTTTGTTCAAATATTAAGAACTCTATGTTCCTAAGATAGAAACCGATGTTTATACGAGTATTTGCAGACAGAATTAGTAGAAGAAAGAAAAGTAGCGGCAGAAAGAAAAAGGAAGGAGAGTTGCGAAAAAAAGGAGTTCCCCACTCATATCTGAATGGGAATTCAACAAGTGTCGGAAGGAAAGCTCGAGGGAATAGCACAGGCTTCTGCCGTAACTTTCCATAGAAGCGGGTGGTGCAGTTATGTTCTTATACTCTCGCGCGCACTGTAACAGGTCTCGCTAACACGAGAATTAACTGCGGCAGCAAACGTTTACAGCGATACTAGGTATTCGCTCAAAAGCAAAAAAGAACCGAATTTGTCTCAATAATTACATTCATCAATATTCTCATATTTTTCCATCCCTTATCCTTTGATGCGATATATATAATTTTTGTGTGTAATTACTAAATGAGTTCGTATATGAGATTAATTCTTTTAAATTAATTAGGTAAAGATTTTATATATACATATATACCTTACGAAATATATATATCCTTACGAAAAAGAATTACTGGCAGTAATATATTGCGGCAGTGGTACAAAAGAATTACTGGCATTCTGTGTATTTGCCAGTAATATTCTCAGTGATTCCTGTAATATCTAATAATATTCTTGTGTGATTGTCAGTAATATTTATATTACTGACTTTATTTATATGTAATCGGCAGTAGTTCTTTTTCGTAAAGGTATATTTGTTCGTGAAGGACACAATTCTTGTGGTGAGAAAATATCAATTACTGCGCAATGTTTTTATCTTCTTATTATTTCCAGATTTCAGAAAAATGTTAATCCTGTTAACTCCCTTTTCTTATATCTAGTTCTTTTTAATATTTATAATGAAACTTCTTGAGGTATTTTTCTTACGACAACGTTAAACAATGATTATTTCCTTTAATAAAAACAAAATCAGTATGAAAACTTTTAATTTCTTTACTTGTGATCAATAAAGAAACGCATTTTGTTGCATTTTTGGTATCACTCTTACAAAAAAGAACTACTGCCGATTACATATAAATAAAGTTAGTAATATAAATATTACTGACAATCACATAAGAATATCATCAGATATTACAGGAATCACTGAGAATATTACTGGCAATTACACAGAATGCCAGTAATTTTTTCGTGCCACTGCCGCAATATATTACTGCCAGTAGTTCTTTTTCGTAAGGGCATGAACGCCGTAATCGGATCAACAAGAATTTAGAATGTGTAGTAAATGGTAAGACACAATAATTATGGAAATAACGAAAACAATTGAAATACTTTTCTAAGCTTTCTACGTCTTTGCACATTAAATTCAATTTTTTTGTATAAGAGCGATTTTATTTTTTCTGTACAGTTTTGGTTTTATTTGAATTTCAAATGAAGTGACAGAGAATCAATTAATGTAATGAATTGATGTGAGAATTTTGTGACTTTACAGTTGCTAACCGTCTTAGTGGCCAATATTTAGTTGATCTTCGTTGTATGGATCGATTCTACTTGCCTGAAATCTTCCAAGCGTGCCTGAAAGGCCTCCTTGCTCACTACGTCGTACGTCTGTGTCTTGCTCTCATCTCTAGGTACGGACACCAGTGGCCATGTGTTCATGTTGTGAAGGTCCTGGTCAGTAATGGAGAATCTCTGCGTCAGGTTCGATCTGGTTGTTGAACAACGACACAGTAAAGTGGTTTATTAAGGAAAGAAATCACATATCGTAAACATGCAAAAGTATAACAATAGTATTAAATGGTATATGTATATACACACATATACAATTGGTATATATATATATATATATATATATATATATATATACACATACATATATTTGTATGTACATATATTTGTTTGTGTGTATGATATTCAGGAAAAAAACAAGAAATGATGAATAAAATACGGATTGCTACATTTAAAATAAAAATATGAGTTTTTTAATTAAAAATTTCTTTATTTTGTTTTTTTTCAAATTATTTTCATAAAAAATGTTTTTTTTTTCGATTCATAAAGCTTTTAATTCTCTCACGAGCAATTAGTGCGACTATTTTGCTATTCCGCAAGGTAGGTATTTGTTTTGCAGAAACGTGTTGTATCTTGGTCGCGTCCCGTCTCGATTGCAAGAACTGAGGAAACCATTCGTTCTCATCACATAAAATACGACGAAAGATTCGATCGACAAAGAAACGCATTTTGTTGTCCATATCACGATCGTCGTTGGATCAACAAGAAAATGTTCTAGGTAATTATAAGACAATAATTGCACAAAACTAACAAAAATAATTAAAGAAAATTGTGTTACTAGAGATAAAAAAAATAAAAAAATATATAAATTCAAATATATTTAAAATATTTGACATAAATCGGCTAAACCTGAGAGTGTTGCCGTTGGTGTAAATAAAAAAGGCCACTTCGGATCTTTCCAATTGCATTCTGGTAACCAGTTTACCCAGGTCCGTGGCTATTGTTACCTGTAATTATCACAAAGCATTGATCATCAGAAGTGTTTTGCGAAATTAAACACACAAAACTACAAAGTGATTTGTCATCTGTTTAACAAAACATTATTCTCTATTTCGTGAATCTGAATCAATTCTTGAATCGATTCTTTTCTGTTTAAATATATAAAATAAAGCTCGAGTTGTGTGCTTTCGGGTTAATGGATAGTGTACGGAACTTCTGTTAAAAGATAACGGAAAGGCACAAAAGCACCAAGTACACAGTCTTGAGTGACTGAACATTTGCGAAACATACTCCGAGTGACCACTTCAAGTCAAGAATTCCTAAATGGCTACCACTCGTAAGAGATTCTTGATTATTTCGCGTGAACTGAGCAAGGAAATGTTTTAATCAGCACATAAGATTGTAGATGTCGAAATTTTTTTAACTTTATTGTTTTGTTTTGTAATGGAAAATAAGTTTTACTTTTTTATACAACATAACTTAATAAAAATAAGAGACTTTTCAGTTTGTTTTTTGATATTAGATTCTATTTATCTTTCATCAAATTAATTAAGATTTTATTTTTATTTAGAAAAATATTTTATATATATAATTTGCGTTGTGCAATATAATATATACGAAATCTCTTGGTTTTACAAAAATCTTCTCTCTAATCAAATTACAAGAAAATAGATTTCAATTTTGCTAATGTAGAGTTTTGATCTAATAAACAACAAATTTAGTATTCTTTAGATTATTTGCAAGGTTTTGCTTGTTTGGCTATCAGTTCTCGGTTTAACTGAATCTCATTTCTATAAATCATTAAAACGTTCATCAATCTAAGAATATGGCGTCGTAGTTTTCAATTTATCGGTTTGCGGCAGCAATTAATGCTATATTAATAATGCCGGCGGTAGTGGGATATGGGGTAGAAGTGTAGGGATAGAAGGAGTAAAGAGGGATGGAAAGTCTGCAGGAGAGGTATCTAAGATAGTTACTGAAAGTGGACTGGAGAACTCCGTGTTATTTGATAAAGAAAGAGTTGCAAAAAGAATTCTTAAGAGAAAGAGCGAGACAAAGAACGGTTGGATTGAAGAGAGGATAAAGAGAGGGGAAGGGGAGAGATTGTGAGAACATGTTGGAAGGAGATAAAAAAGTAGAGCAGTGAAGGAGAGAGAGCAGTCGGATTGAGAAAAGGAGAGAGTAGAGTTCTATAGGAGGAAAGGAGTTGAGATAGTTGATGAAGATGAAGGAAATCATGGAGGGTACGATGGCTGAGTTAGTAGAAAAAGAGAGGGAGATGCAGAGAAAAGAGAGATGGAAAAGGATTAAAAAACTCGAAGTTTAACATGTGGTACCAGAAAGTGAAAAAAGAGAGAGTAACCGAGATATTTCAAGAAAAGATGGAGAGAAGAGAGGTGGCAGAGAGTAGCGAGATTCAGATTAGGGAGTGAGATGAGAGGGAGAAATTATTGGGAAGGAGAGGAAGAGAGAAAGTGTCGGATGTGTGGTGTAGAGAAGAAAAATTGGAAGCATGTGTGGGAAGAATGTACGGAATGGGGAGTAGAAAAAAGTTGGGATAAAATGGTGGAAGTGATACAGGAGAAGGAAGGGGAGGGAGAGGAATGGTTGAAGAAAGTTGAGGAGTGGAGAAGAATATATAGGAGGTATGGAAGAGGAAAAAGAGGAAAGGAGATTGGAATGTATAAATGAGAGTAAGAATAAGGGAGAGTGAGAGAAAGAATAGAGATGGGTAAGTGGAAAAGTGTATGAGCAAATAAAATAAATGATAATAAAAAGATGCGAGAAGAAATGCGCCGGAAACGGAAGTTCAAATGATAGATCAAATTAAGTTAGAACGCATGTGTGTGTGTGTTTGTGTAGAAATAGAATATAAATAAAGAATTAGGTTAGGTTATCAACCTCTCACGTTAGATTGTTTAATATAATCTATAATATTATTATGTGTAATTATTATATGTAGTACACTAGAAGAAGATCCAAATTAAGGTCGAAACGTTTGTCAAGTTTTTAAAATAACGAAGTTTATTGACACGAAGATCTGGTTATTGCCTCGAATTGGCTACTTCCCTATTATTATAAGTTTTCACGAGGAAGAATACAGAAGTTTAAAGAATTAGGCTTATGACAAAAATTGAAAAGCTGATTAGACTTTTGAAAGCCCGTGGCCCAGACATTGGTGGTGGTGAAATAAATGAATTAGAACGTGTTTTGATTTATGGAATGTTTCGATCTTTATTCAGATCCTCTTCAGCCAATCTATTATGTCCATGAAAGTTCATAATATGTAAAATTGTATAATAAGTAAAATGTTTTTTTTTCTATTAATAATGTATATTGATAGCAAATGAAGCGAAATATAATAAATAAATCGTTCGAAGAGCACTTATGCGAATGAAGCGAAATATAATAAATTGTTCGAAGTACAAAAATGTAATTTGTGATACATGCAAAGCTTTTTTTAATAATAAGTTATTGTCGGGGAGGTCAGGTGTCAAAATTTAGATAGCAGCAAGTATAAGAATTCTTGCATGAAATGTCATTAGTTATAAATTTAAAGTCAAGGTTATCAAATTTATTACGTTTGCTAGGATTTTGAAAGTACTCACTGCGATCGTTCAGCCAAAAATGACATTCCAGAGGTCACGAATCACATTGTGAGAGGCTTGAAAAGACTGAATCTGAAATTTTCTTTCAGAGGTAGAAACACCTTAAACAGTTTTATCAAGGTTCATAAAGATCGTTTGCATCGTGGCTCAAACAATAATGTGATTTCCAAATTAAACTGCTCCTCATGCGATGCATCTTATGTCGGACAAACTAGCAGACAGTTAAAAACAAGAATTGCTGAACTTCAGCGTAATTTTTACTACACATACGACCGACAATCATTTATTAGCAAACATCGCAGTGATTTGGGTCACTTTAATTGGAATAATATTGAGGTGCTAGTTTCTGAAAAATTATATTATAAGAGATTAATCTCAGACATAATTCACATAAAGATGCAGAGAAACGGGGCAAATTTAATGAAAGATACGGAACTGCTTGACCCGTCGTATTTCCCGATAATAAACAAGATAAACAGCTAGTTATTTTTCTCTTCCTATTGACATCTTTACTTTTCAAAACTGCTGTTTTTCGGTTTGTCTCATTCGTGCTACAGACATTGCAGGCTTCCTTTCTACTCTGAGTTATCTCTGGGTTTCTCTTGACTTCATTACAAATACAGAATGATTGTCATTTTTGGCTGAACGATCGCAGTGAGTACTTTCAAAATCCTAGCAAACGTAATAAATTTGATAACCTTGACTTTAAATTTAACTAATGACTACTAATAACTAAATTTAATTAATACTCACACAGATCCATCCATTCAGACATCCATTAGACAGCTCTATGCGACACCCGGTAAAAAATTTTTCATATATATTTATACACAAATTAAAATAATTATATCTAATTATGCAAATTTATATACCGAATATGTCCATACAATTTTATACATGAAAAATTTTTTACCGGGCATCTGATGTCGCATGGAGCTGTCGACGTCTAATAGACGTCTAATCAAGTTTTTGTTCTGGGTAATTTCATGCAAGAATTCTTATAATCGCTGCTATCTAAATTTTGACACCTGACCTCCCTACAATAACTTATTATTAAAAAAAGCTTTGCATGTATCACAAATTACAGTTTTGCTCTTCGAACAATTTATTATATTTCGCTTCATTCGCATACTACCATGATCAAAAAATAACCGGAATTTATTCATAAAAAGAAAAGTACATGTTTATTCTTCAAAATTCAAGTTGTCCCCTTCAAAGTAGTCCCCGTCGGCTGCGATGCACTTATGCCAGCGTTTGATCCACCCCTCGAAGCTTTTCTGGAAGTCGGTTTTTGGTATACCCATTAGTGCCTCCAGCGATTTTAGCTTTATTGCCTCCACACTCTCAAAACGAGTTCCTCGTAGTGGTTTTTTGAGTCGATCGAATAGGAAGAAGTCACATGGTGCCAGATCAGGTGAATTGGGCGGTTGTTGAATGGCATTGGTGTTGTTTTTGACGAGAAACTCACGAATAATCAACGCATTATGAGATGGCGCATTATCGTCATG